AAAAAAATTTTTTAAAAGAGTTTTTTCGTCTCAGTTTTCTCAAAAGATTTGTGCTCAACCCGAGAGTATTTTATTTTGATTTTGCAAACACTCCACGTCCGGTCTTACCACATTATACAACATCTGTCTCATGGTTCCCCAAAAACTATAATTTCCCAAAACTCGTGGAGGATTGACTTTAATTTCCCCGTCTACATATTTTGCAGTCTTCATGTTTTCTGTTTGTTTGCTTGTTGTTTTTTTACGGGAAAATGATGTCAAAAGAAATGAAAAAGTATTAAATAGGTGACGAATATTCACATGGGGATATTGTCATCATCACTATTTTAATCTCGACATTTACGTGCTACAAAATAAAAGTTTCATGTTTGTAGGTTGTTTTTTTTTCTTGAAATCGCACAGATCTCTAATTCGAGGATGTTTTTATTATAAACAAGTTCAAAGAAACAACCAGCCCCCATTTACATGGAATTGATAAAACTTGGTTAGTAACCGTTGGTGGACATGGGGAAAACGAGATGACAACAATGGTAATGATAAATAAGGCGCGCTTGTTTATTGTTTTCAATCCGAGCTATTTTTTTCTTTCTTCAGTTCTTTCAAAAAATATGTTTGTCCTTATATTCCTGGAAGATATTGTTAGTGTATTGCGATACCTTCCCGCTGTATCGATACATCGGGAGGTGAAATATGTATTGCATCGCAATATATTGGAATTTGTAATTTCATTACGATGCATACATCAGGGACAAGACAGATCGCGATGCATCGATGCATTGAAAAATCGTTACACCTCTAACAATCATATCATGATTTTTTTAACATTCAAGTATGAACTTGACCATTGTTCATTACATAATTATCATCTTAATAAGCAGCCTATTTATGCACTTTTATTCATCATTCATAAGTCTATCCATGAATAAGAAAGAAACACACCAAAGGGCACAATTTATTCACTATCATCACATGTGACATACAAGTATGACCATGACCTTTACACTGGAGACCTGACCCCTATGTGCAACACATCATCATCCTGTCTTACACATTTATGCCATATTATTTAAAAATCCATCCAGGAATGACAAAATTGTTGACTGGACATAACCATTAATGCACTTTAATGAAAAAATTCAGATCATGAATTTGGCATGTAAGTGTTAACTTGAATGTTGAAATAGGGAACCTGATTCATGTACATGGCACATAGTGATTATTCACACACATTTATGCATTATAATTTTCTAATCCATCCACGAATAACAGAATTGTTGAACAGACACGAACATCAGTGTACTTTTATAATCATTCACATCATTAATTTTGATCTACCACTGTGACTTTGACGTTCGAGCTAGGGACCTGATTCTTGTGCAAAATACATCATCATTAAGTCCAACAGATATATGCATATAAATTGATTTTTAAATCCATCAAGGAATGAAAGAATTTTTGACTGGACAAAGTTAGAACAGACGGACAGACGGATGCTACAAAAACTTTGTTCTTTTGGAGACCTAAAATTGCACACATAAACTTAACCATACAGTGAGGGCCATGCAGATGCCTGGGTGAGTACAAATGCTCTCCCGATTCTTAATATAGTCGTACTACAAAGGATACAAATGAAGGTATAACTCTGTGGAATGAACTGCCTTTGTAACCAAACCCTTTCTCATGTGTACATAAACATCTGAAATTTTCTGAAAATATATAACATTGAAAACAATCATATACATTTTAAGATCATAAAAATAAAGGTATATTTTGCTATTCTTACAAAGATCAAATAAGAATCAATGATATCTAAGAAACCAAAAATCTTGTCAACTGGCAAATTCCATATAAATATTACACTTATTATGGAAAAAGAGAAAGTTGATCTTTTGGATTTATATTGATTTGATATTATTGATTATATTATTATAAGCACCATGTCAAGTCATATGGCCACATGCCAGCTTTCCCAGTACTGGCAGAGCTCATGTGTGCCCCTCAGTGCATCCTTTAGGGCACAAGTGGGTACCTCTGTACAATTATCAACCTTTCTTAATCTCGCTGGATATCTTCATTACATAAAAAAATCCAATGTACCAAGTGGATTCAAACCCATAGTGTTGATTGGGCAGTGGTTCAAAGTCAGAGACCTTAGCCAATTATCCAAACAATACGTAGACAAATATTTTGAAGCTATATTTGCTTCCTCATAAAAGAAAAAGGTTTTTCGATAATAAAGAAATACCTGCAGTTTTTGGGCACAACATCTGGTCTCAACTGTATAACAATTCTTCCTGATTGTTTGTTTCCTATTTTTATATCAAAGAACACTTGTGAACTTGTCCGAGATCTTTTACCTGCTGGCTCATCATCCTATAATACAAACACATCATCTTGTAAAACTTACTTTACAACTGCTAAGGGTGATCTATATAGCATTGTAAAACAGCTTGGTTCCTGGTCAGACACCGACTCTTTTTAGTTTCTGGCCTGGTTAAAAACAATTTGATAATCACACAATATGAAGATGAAGTACAATTTAAGCAAAATATGTATACTAAAACAGTATGAAAAAATCCATTTAAAATTTGATAAAATTATTTTGATATACAGTGAATATTAATAAAGGAATATCTAGCAATTGTAAAGAGATACAAAACACTGAATGAAAGAATAATTCTGTGATTTTCTTTTTTTGTTCGGGTCCATTTACCAGACTCTTCTAAGAAGCAAATGTATTTTTTTTTAACTCTGCCTATATAAAAACTCCAAAATTGTAGGCTTAAGTTTTTTTTGGGGGGAGAAAAAAGATAACTATTCGGCATGGAGAAGTAGACAATTACTAACTTCTTTTTAGCAAAGTATGGTAAAAAGGCCCTGAAAAGAAATGTAATCGTTGGTCTCTAAATTACAATTAATCTATAGATGAATAAAGATAATTGAAACAACAAATTTGACATTGTGTTCATTCCCAATTTTGGCATCACATCAAGCATTTTTTCTGACTGACCCGAACCCTTTCCAAAGTCGTAAAGAAGTCACTATAGTTGTCTAATTAGTATGAACAAATATTTGTGTATCCATATATACCTGTATATATAAGAGAACACTTACAGTATCTGTTTGTGCCTGTCGTTTTGTTGGGGATTGTGAGGTGTTTTCCTTGTCTTCACTAGTTACTGTCTCCCCAGCATGCTCTTGTAACCATGTATCTTCAGACCACACTAAAATAATCAAAATACAAGACATCAATTTTTTACAAACATGACCAGAAATACTCATTTACTTTCCAAACATTACAAAAGATGATAATGTTAAAGATGTTTATGAAATTTCATTTTCCTGTTTTAATATTAACTGTTTTTAGAATTAGTGTTTCAACTGTTCAAAAATCAGAAATGACAAATTTTAAAAAGCAAAATCTTTGGGGAAAGAAAAGAAAAGGGTTGAATTTTCCCACTTTCAAATTCGTTTTAAAATTTTTATACTTTAGCACTAAAGAGCCCCCCCTTTTAAAAAGATTTTGCCAATGCGGGTTACAAGCATGGCAAACCTATTAAATTGGCGGGCACCTTTTCCCTTTTTTTAAATTTGAAATCTTAAAATCCAAATTGGGTTAACTATTCGCCCCTTTAATTTTAAAATGTATGAAAATTTTTTTAAATTATCCATTAACAAAATCCGGGTGTGCCCCCTGAATTTGTCTGAAACTAGTTTGGGTTACTTAACCCTTCCCAAAATTTTATATTATGACAGGGAAAAAGATGCTTTTAAAAAAAGAAAATTTGGGTTTCCCTTTTTTGGGCATATGATATCTGTAAAGTTTTAAAAATAAATTTGAATATTTACTTATTTCTAAAAGTAAAACCTCTTAGATTTAATTTCCTAAAGTTTGGTTTTCAAAAAGTGTGTTTCCTCAGCCATAGCTGAACAGATTTAAATCCCACAAGAAGCAGTTCCAACATCAAAGCATGCATAAATACAGCAAGACAAAGGATGAGTCATCTCACCTGCTTTAGCATGACCTTCCTTCACTTTCATAGGTTTTGCAAGATTGCATCTGATTGTTTTACCAAACAACTCGGAATCATTCTGAAAATTAAATTGAAAGCATTTTCCAAATAATGATTTGAAGGTTTAAAGGAAAATGTTTTACAGCTTTAGCATTTTCCAAATAATGATTTACAAGTTTACAGAATGTTTACAGCTTAACATTTTCCCAATAATTGATTTGGAGGTTTATAGAATGTTTACAGCTTAGCATTTTCCAAATAATGATTTACAAGTTTACAGAATGTTTATAGCTTATCTTAAAAGTCAGGAGCTATTCATATTGATGAGATCCTTGTAGAATATATGGAGAAACATTCACACACATAAAACTTCATTGATGGTTAAAAGATAGTATCTTAAAACAGCATCATAATGACCAATATACTTCCAAGTGATCTACCAAAATGTTAGGCATTCAATGACTCTGACCTTAACCAAAATCTCTTAGACTTATTATTCATAATTTATTTATTTATTTATTTATTTATTTATTATCTTGACATAATTATAATGATAAATTTAGGTTATGATTTCTCTGCTGATATTATTGCTATATTAAGGATTACGGACCCAGAAAAATCGGTATTTTCCGTGTTATTTCGGTAGATTCCGGAATGTCACGTTTCCGACCATGTGACCATGATAAATGACCACGTGATCGGATTCTGAGCTGATACAAAGATGGCCGAACAAACGCGCACTCGTAGAGGCAGATTTGCATCCTTAAAAAAAGAACCTGCTAAGCAGAAAGCATATGAGCTGAAAGAAGAACACAGCTATGTAGCAACTGATTATGTTGAAGTTGAGAGTTGCAAGACTGTGGATGGGAGTTGGAAGGAAGGCAGGCGAGTTGTTGATTTTGCCGTGTTGTTGGAGGGACTGCGGTTTTGCAAATCGTGTCGACTTGGCCCTATTCCTTTAACTATAGAGAACGTCATTGGGGAATTAAAGAAGGGATTAGGAGGATATCTAAAAGTGAAATGTTTGAACTCAGATTGTGGTCACGTGAACTGTATAGCGTATGGAAAATTAGTGAAAGGGAGTAAACAGGGTGCCACAACTTTTGCCGTGAATACGAAGCTTGGAACAGGTAACGGTCTTAAAATTTTATTCCTTATGTTGATAAATTATTGTATTAACACTCTATCTCCATCATTGATTCATTCAGTGGTCTGTTAAGAAAGTGTGTACGATTTCACACAATCTTTTGTAAACATATGTTTCGTACCCAAGCAATTTCGTACCCAGTAAAAAAGGTCATTTTATATCACAGTTTTGGGAAATTTTCTATGCCAATGTATCTATTTATACTGCAGCACACTCGTCAAGAGCATTATGTGCAATTGATAGTCATATGTCTAGTTTGTTTCCATTGATTTTTTTTTGTAAAACATCAAATTTTTATTGAATGTTTGCCATTTGTTTATGCATTTATAATTTATTTGTTTATGCATAATTAGTATTAATTACATGTATTAGTGAAATGTTGCGCAGAAGCCCACAGTGAAATTTCATAGGCATACTGCTACAAAATGTAATGCTTCATGTAAGTGTTGATGTATTTTATGCCTTTTAATTCATCCAAAAGCATATACATATATAATTGCTAAGAATGAAATTCATTGGCCTAGAAACTAAATTGGGTTGAAATGAAAATATTGTCTCAATAGAAACTAGATGTTTCTGTGTATTTTCAGCCATGATTGACACATTGGGAGGCCCGAATAAAGTCAACAACATGCTGGCAGCTTTGAATATACCCACTATCAGTAATAGTAAACTGAAGAAAATGGAGAGGAGGGCAGGGTCAAGCATTGAAAAAGTGGCGTCTGAGTCAATGGAAGCTGCAGGCAAAGAAGCATTTCAGAGAGAAATGGAGTAAGTATATTTCAAATGCATTTCTTAAAAGAATAAAATGAACAAATATTAGTTACATCTGACACGAACCAAAATTATTCTTGTGAAAACATATATGATATAAATAAGTTCAATGTGATATTTCGTTGAATATTTAAAAATGGGCGACAAAACTGAAGTGCATGCACATACATGTATGGAACTGTTTCACATTTGAAAATCCCATTTGGACTTCACATCAGAAATTTTCCAGAATACCTGGTTAAAGTTATACTTCTATAAAAACATTTATATCTTGTTTTCTTGTATCTTATAATTCTTTCTTTCTAAAGGGACATAGCTGTGTGTGAGTGTTTGGAAGCAGAGAAGTCAACAAATATTCTTATAAAGGACCTTGGGGTTTCTGTTCTTCCAGAGGCATCTCCTATGAAAGAGTAAGTTTAAAAAATATACACGTTACTGGCTGAAATAAATGTTGAGTGGTACATGTACTGTTTTTCTTTGTATATAGTTTACTATACACAGTTACACTACTGGAGCACTCAAAATCTTCTTTGCACATGACTGTATAAATTTATAAATATAAACATGACTAATGACACATATGTCTTTTGTCTGGTTTAGACTGTTGTTTACTTTCTTTTCTTTTTGTCTTTTCAGGGAATTGATAATACCAAGCGACACGAAAGACATAAGTTGGGCAGATGATACAATGAGTCCACAATCTTCGCAGGAGAAAGTTGTTAAGAGAAGGTAGGACTCATATGAACATAGATTCATTGCTAGAACATCAGTTGAATTTCAGTGCAATGTACACAAAGCTTGAAAAAAATATCTAAAAAACTTCGTAGTTGAAAATCCCTTAAACTAAATTTGCACTGTAAATGCAAGGGCTATTTGTCACACTTTTGTTCTGTTTCTTTTTATACAAGTGTTCATTCTGTCAAAAAAAGCTATGACCATTAGGGCCACTTTATTATTATATAAACCAGCATGTTAAATATACATGTGAACATTGTTCTTTTCATACACTGTAAATCTTTTCTTTTTTTCTTTTAATACAGAAAACAAAGATTTGTTATCCATGGACATAAGCTGGGTAAAACTTCATGTAAGAAGAGTTTGTTGAAAAGGTTCCCTTGTAAAACCCGCTCTGGCATGTCTTGTGCAGTTGATACAGCCTGGCAAAAACGAGGCTTTGATAGTCTTACATGTAAGTAGAAAATAATAGCAGTGTTTTAGTTTGTGATCTGTTAACCAGTCGGACGATTGAAGGGTTATGAAGTTAGCAATTTATTCGGTTATTGCCATCCCTAGTAAACAGCCTTATAAAATATCTGGAAAAAGTGTGATCCCTCGGAAGCATTAATCTCAACAAAATTACATGAAAATTTCAGACTCAGTTTGATTAAAGTTAAGCTTTACATAATGATCACTTCGTAATTAGTTGAACATGCTTTAGCCTTTATGTATGTTTACACTTAATGTATGTTTACATGTAAATGTAGTTTAAAACATGCAGTCCAGCTACTTTGTAAAATAGTGTCAATTGAAATGATCTTTCAAACAATTTTCTGTATTATTTTGGTTTTACAGCTCATACCTTTTTTATGAGTAAGGCGAAGTATGGTAAAAAGGTATTGAAGGCTATTGTAAAACACCGAACCTGTGGAACATGTAAATGGTGGAAAAGAAACAAACCAGGTCAACCAGTACGTCTACACCGCTGTGTCCAAAACCATACAGGAAGTGCAAGATCGATGGAGAGTGCGAGCGGGGAACAAGGTATATTGGAATTGTCCAAAGAAGGAACACCTGTAGAGTATATTGAAGGTGATGGAGACAATACACTTATAGCTCGGTTAAAGTCTAATCAAAATATTAATATGAAAAAGAGATTTGATAGGAACCATGTTGTGAAGAATGTTGGTAAACACCTGTTTCAGTTGCAAGCCTCCAAGAAAGTTCGTCTCAGTAAAGTTGTAATTAACCACATCCAGAAGTGTCTCAAATACGCCTTTGCTAAAAACCAAGGAAACAAAGAAGATCTGGAACAAAATCTGAGGGCAATCATACCCCATCAGTTTGGGGACCATAGCTTCTGTTTCCCAAAGTTTTGTGGCTACAAGAGGGACCAAAGTGTGAAATATCTTCATCGTAGCTTGCCATACAAGGGCCCCATCAAAGATGAAACAGGTCAGCTTCGGGAAGAACTTGACAAAGTTTTCGCACCTGTCATTGGCAATGCAGAACAGTACTCTGACTTGGGTTCTTCACAACAATGTGAACATGCTAACAGGGAAGTATCGTTGAGGGCCCCAAAGTCACTTCACTATGGAAACTCTGAGTCCTTGGACTTCCGAGTGCAGGCGACGGCAGCCTTCATCAATGAAGGAAGAACTTATATTTGCAAGGTACTAAACAAGAAGTTTTACACTTGACTTGCATGTGATTAGTTTGATTTTGTTTTATTTAGGGCTGGATCTCATTTTGATATGAAATACTTTTACACAAAATTTACCTTTCAAAAATTCATCAAGATGACTTTACAAATTTAATTTAAAACTATTTTGATGGGTATGTTTGTACCCTTTTGATATCCAGCACAAAATCAGTAGGGTTTAAGCTGCAGTTAGTGATTTGTTTCTTATTTGTTTTAAATACAAGCAAAACAGCTGTAAAATAGCAGTATTTATTCTTTTAGATGGTTTATTTCAATTTATAAAGCCTGCAAAATACTTAGCCTGAAATTTAAATCTGAATCACTTGCTGTAGCTTTAAGGGTTAAAAATGGTATTCCTTTTTCAATTCAGGAAATGAAGTTGTCAGAAATGTTTTGCTAAGATTATTTGTTTCTCACGTTTTTTTTATTTGTTTGATGTTTACAGTTCACAGTTCATGTTGATTTATGTTTACAGTTCACAGTTCATGTTGATTTATGTTTACAGTTCACAGTTCATGTTGATTTCTTTGTTTGTGTTGCAGTTACACTGTTGGATATTTTCATACAGTTTCAAGCATATGGTGCCTTCTGCAAGTAAGTACTGTTCATAGTTTGTAATTATTTGTTTACATTATACATGTATTGTCTATAAAGTTAGAACACAACAATGTTGCAGAGTTATGTTGCTTTTTTCAAGTGAATATAGTACATGTATAAAAAGGCGAATGGAAACTTTTATCATACTAATATAATAAGCTTTTGGGCATCATTCAAGTGTTATGAATGATTACATTGAAGAGCAATGGTGACCCATGTTACTACAACAACTTAGTTCACTATGGCAACTAAATCTAGACCAGATTTGTCAAATTGTCTTGATTGGTAAATGTATGTAACTATCAAAGCTTACACAATTTTTTCTATGTTAGGCTAATGAAGAAGGAGGTCTTTCTCCGGGGTTCCACACAGAAAAGTACTCTAAGAAGTGTATGAATGAACGCAAGCGCCGAATGGAACGCTCCAGTCTTCCTTCGTCCAAGCGTCGCAGACTCACATTGAAACAAGAGAGGTGTATATGTAAAGGAGCAACCGAAGTGCTAGAAGGTGCCACATATCAGTCAGGTTAGCCTTTTATCTTGTAATGTTAAAAAGTTAAAAAAAAAGTGGTACGTCAACAGCTTAGTGCACTGGGTACTTATAGTAGAGTTTCAAATCCTAAGAAAGTTGTAAGTTCTACCACTGGTTTGGTCATAGTACTGATCAATAGATGGACAGAAAGTATTGTTTTTATAAAAAGGATGTAATGCTCACTCAACTGTGCTGAATATGGTTAAGAGACCTTTGGTACTCTAACAGTTCAAATGTTTACATTGTCTTATAATTTATGATTGGACACACATTATTCTAATACAATGTACTTCAGAAATTGGTCTTCAGAATGATGTTGATGTGGAAACAATTCCGGACGCTGTACCACGTGGTGATTTTAAGCCCCTGAAACTTCAAAACTCGATGCCAACATTTGTTGTATTAGACTTGGAGACTACAGATCTTAGTAAGTGTTTTGTATAACTACTTCTTATATTGGCGGTCTAGTATAGATTTATGTTCCATTATTATAAAAAATAATGTGTTGCTTTTCAATAACATCATGAATGTTTTACATATGAAAGTAACTTTAAAGTGATGGAATATTTGAGCTGCGTCATGTGAAAATGGGCCCTAAGGCGATTTCCACCAGCTGGCATGGGTCCATACTGGTCGGGCTCGCTTTTATATCCATTTTCTCATGATGCGGCTCATATCTGATGTGTTTTATATAAATTGCTTTTTTGTTTATTTCAGTACGAAGTGGGAAAATGCCTCATTTGACCCAGATTGCTGCCAGAGAAGTAAATAGTGGTAGTGAGTTTTCAACTTATGTTACACCGAAGCTACCTATATCAGAAGGAGCACAGCAGACCACTGGTATTAGAATGGCAGATAATAATGTTATGTATGTTTCCGGAACTATAGTAGAAACTGTAAACATTCAATGTGATGTTGAAAATTTCATAAAGTGGCTACAAAAGTATAACAGAGTAGTGTTGGTGGCACACAACGGGCGGAGGTTTGATTTTTCAGTTGTTGTTGCTGCAGTTTCTAATGTGAATAAGTTGGAAGAATTTTTAGCAAGTGTTGTAGGTTGTTTGGATACATTACCATTGTTTCGTAAGACCTATTCTGACAGAAGTAGTTACAAGCAGGGAGATCTTGTACAGGACATTCTCGGTATACAGTATAATGCCCATGACGCTCTTGAAGATGTGCGCGCCTTAGTGAAATTGTTCCAACATTGTTGTGCCTTAGTAAATGATATGATAAAGTTCACTTTTTCTCTAAATGCAGTGTATCACCAATGTCTGTCATCAAAGGAAAAGGCAAAGAATTTACCGTCATTGTCATGTCTTATTGCAAGTAGTGTTTGTAAACTTCCTACAGCTGAAAATATCGCGTCTTCAGGGTTAAACCTGGAGCATCTAAGGAAAATCTTTATACGTGATGGTGAAGATGGACTACACAGTACATTCACGATGAAAAACAGTGAAGGCCAACCACGTGTAACAAACACAAAAAGGACACTTGAGACTGTCATTCCTAAACTGGCTGATTTCTTACAAAAAAACAGTTAAAATTTGTTTTACTGATAATTGAGCCGTGTCATGACAAAACCAACACAATGCGTTTGCGACCAGCATGGATCCAGACCAGCCTGCGCATCCGCGCAGTCTGATCAAGATCCATGATGTTCGCTATCAGTTTCTCTTCTTGTATTAGAGTTAGTAAGCAAACACCATGGGTCCTGATCAGACTGCGCGGATGCGCAGGCTGGTCTGGATCCATGCTGGTCGCAAACGCATTGTGTTGGTTTTGTTATGACACGGCTCATATATACTGTTGGATCTCCAAATGCCATATGTTATATTGTACTGAAGATATGTTTCAGCAATTTTCTATTGCAGGAAAGCAGTATATTTCAAGTATTTTCACTCAAGGTCATATTGACATGTTTTCATTGAAATTTAGGCTTACTTACATTTTTAACTTTAGTCACAGAATCAAAACCAAAATGTTACATTGTTAATACATTTTTATTTTTTGGTATCTGCAGCACACATCAAAAAACATAACATATGATAAATAGTAGGATATTTTTCTTTGTAAGTATTATCTTTGTGAACATTTTAGTGCTTGGTGTGGATAAATAGTTCTTGGTCACTATTTGATTTTCTAGCTCTCGACCACATGTATGTATACAAGATTTTGAAGAAAACACATGATTTTATTGTTGACAGAAGGTACCTTTTCTATTGATATTAAGTGTTTTTATTGCATTGCAAGTCTTGTATTGTTTCTAAGCAGAAGCTGAAGCATTATTTAATAGTTTGAAACAAAGAAAGAATAAATAATGAAATTTGACCTCAAATTGTCTCCCTTGACATTTGATACCAAACTCATAAAATGTAGTGGTTTGAACTAACTAGACGGTAAAAGTTTTTCCTTTTTTAATATTTTCCCCTTTATATCTGATAGAAACTTTATATTTGGGTCTTATATTGTGAAACAATATTGAAAGCATTAAAAATTTGGCCAAAACATTGTGTATTTGGACATGACATGGAAAAAAAGCCAGAGTCCGCAGGGTCAAATTTTCACATAATACATTTTATTTCTTTTTCTTTGTGAACAATTGTTATCAGTAAGTAATGCATGATATAAACTAAGGTCATATGAACACAACAAGGTACATTTCACAAATACATTCCTCAATTTGGAAAAATTACAGAAGATTTATAGGATCTAGGTATTTGCTCTTTGGGGTTCTTCTCAGAAAAGTGGGGTAGCCGACATCAAATGTACATATCTCATGTTTTGAACGGTAAATTTTAATAAAATTTCATATTTGGGTGTCTTAATGGATGCTTAACAAGAATTCATCAAGTATGTAACCATTTCTAAATGTGGGTTTCAGGGTCCGTAAACCTTAAGTATATTGAGTTATCTTACCAGGTTATCTATTGCAGCTGCAGCATCCTGGAAAATAAATAACAACAAAAAGTTAATGCACCACAATTTGTTTTGTTTGTTTTGTTCTACAGGACACCAACACAATTTTCGTCATATGGCACCAAAACAGGAAGATAATTTTGGTTAATCATGTGTGAAACAAACTTAAAACAACACCAGGGGTCAAAAATACCTCACCTGCTTGGACTGAGAAATGCAAAGACTCCAGGAATTCAAACCGATTAAGTTGCCCCTTATGGTTAAGCAGGGATTTACAGTTTACAAATGAGCTGTGCCCTGCAGTCTGACCAGGATCCATGCTGTTTGCTATCAGTTTCTCTACTTGTTATAGGGTTGGTAAGCGAACAGCATGGATCCTGATCAGATTGCACTGATGTGCAGGCTGGTCTGGATCCATGCCGGTCTCAAACCCATTATGTTGGTTTTGTCATGACACTGCTAAAATATTATAACTATATGTTCATGTTTTGAGGTTGCTAGGTATCAAAGTAGGTCTAGGACATTCCAAACATAAAGCACAGTAAGGTTTACATTGATCTAGTTCATTTCTTATAAGCATAAAATCAGAACTTAGTAGATTTAAACAGATAACAAGTGATATACATACCTCTGCTAGTTCAAACTCTATAAATGCAAATCCTCTGTGTTTCTCTGCAAAAATAAAAAAACACAAAGGAATACAAAAAAGAAATGCTTGCCTTTGCTCATCTCGAACATATTTCACTCAATTTTTTATTTATTACTATAAGAAAGCCTTATGCTAAAATCATCCTTCTCACTATTACACATTTGATTTATTTAATTTAAGATAAAGCATTATTCTGAATACTTACTGCAGAACATAACCAAAAATATCATGCTTGGTTTAAACATATTTCATTCTATATATTTACTGTAATACATTATAATGAACAATATATACACAATACATATGGGATTGGGCAGAAAGCTATGAAAGCTTATGAGTGTCCTGTCCCAGTTTGAACAGTTTACATATATACAGTTCATGGCATTATCATGCACAATGTTCATTTAGTTGAAAATATATCAATGACATTTTCAAAAAAAAGGTATTTTGCAACAAATACTAAACCAAATGGTCATGAAAAAAATGCAAAAGAAAATATCATTCTTGTAAGTTTGAAACATTCTTCTAAATGCAAAAAAATGACAATACAGACCTGTCTCATAATCCAGTGGGACATTTATGTCTGTCACATCACCAAATGGAATAAATGCAGCATGCAGAATTTTCTCATCTACTTCTTCTGACAGTCCACCTGAAGTAAATATTAAAAGAGTTAATATCATAATAATAAAGTCAGTAAAATTTTGTAATCAGATTGTTTAAGAATAACAAACATTATAGAATAAATAAATGTTTGTTGTAGTATTTCAATGCATAACTACCGGCAGCACGAAATACCCAAATATACACAAATATAGCAAAATTCATTTTTGTTTGTATAAAATACTGATTATAGTGTGAAAATGAATTAATATTAATAGAATAATATGACTTAGTCAGCTATAACTTTCATTCATTCCGTTAAAATGGGCAGTACAGATCTTGTAAGAAAATAAACTTGCGACATTTGCTTAATATGGTCTAGTTTCATAACTGAATATACTGTCTTGCAAATTAAAATGAAGATATGATATATTTGTTGTCTACATTTAAATTTCTATTGTATAATTTTGTTGAAATTTCATACAAGAGTCCATCTTATTATATTTTTTAGAAAATTTAATATAACTTTAATGGAGTGTACTCACTAGTACTGTATTTGAGTATATTTTGGTTCAAAACACAAGATAGGAAAATTTTTATTTGGGTATGTTTGATCAATCTTAGTCAAAGTGTATATTGTAATTCATAATTAAAACAGCACTTTTTTTAGTATTCAACATTTATTTTTAGTATATCTGAGCAATATTTGGGTATATTTGGGCAATATTTGGGTATTTCATGCTGCCCATACCTACTATCTTGGAAAACCAATGTCTTTATTTCCAGCAAATACAAAGAAATTATTTATGAAACTTAAAATTTTTTTGACAACATGTTGTTATGATAATGATATTGAAATGGGGTGAATCATCACTGAACTGCAGCAAATTGTTAACAGATATCTATTATTAAAAACACAACAGATAAATTGGCCAACTTCTGAAGAAAGAAACAAGTGAACTAACTTCATCCTTCACAGTATTCAATCATTTTTTCATTGTAAATCAGACAAAGAATATATATCAGTTGTGACTACTTTGTAGCAGCTACTGTACTGTTTAGCAACTACCAGGCAACACAAAAATCATTTACAGGCAAATACTCCATTTCTATTCAAGGGCTATAACTCAGTAAAAGATCATACAACAAGAGAAACTTTAAAAATAATAATCATTTAAGGGCCATAACTCTGACAAAAATCATGGAACTGGAAAATGCTGACGATATGCAAAACTAGACTTGGAACTGATCATTCCTGTAAATGTTCGGATGAAATTGTACCAGTTGTTCTTTAGAAGTAGGCCAGACAGACAGACATACAACGGAGAACTGTTTTTATTAAAAATTCCATGGTAAACTTTCAAAACATTATTTTAAAATGTATAAAGCACAGAAGGACTGCCAAAATCATATGCCAGTTGGCTAGTTTTTCACTTCTTCCAATATACTGGCCACCTTCAACTAACTGAAGTTTACTTATCTTAAACAGTTAAACCATTTACTATGGGAAAATAAGAAATCCTTTCACAGAGATCAACATGGCAAAATGGCAGTTTGTGCACCTGACTGGTTGAAAAGAAAAAGCCTAATCTCTTAGTTGCTTCTCCAATTATACAGTTTCACATCAACTTGACATAAATTTTAATAATACTGTACAGTACAATGAACCTTAATTATTTTGGGATTGGGTGCTTTGTACGAAATCTGTCTTTCCTGTTTTATTTGAAAACAAGTACATTTGATAGCTTGTTCACATACATATTTTTAGGTTTTACAAATATACAGATTTTTGGGTACGAGTTGGCTTGGGGCGAATCTATAATTCTTTACTTGTTATTGCATAAATAGCTGGGAAAGGGTGCATAGAAAAACCGGAAAGCACCGGATAGCACCGAAATACCGGAAAGCACTCAAATTTCTCAAAAAAACATATGAAAACTTTATTTTATCGGTTTGAAAGTGTTACCAATCGATTTATTATGATCAAAATCTTTCAGACAAGTCATTTTTATAAATATATATTAATAATTATTACGAGTATTTAGGAAAATAGATATATCGATTGCTTTCCGGTCCTGCTAATTAAGATGCATGTACATTACCGAATAGAAATATTGTTTGTCAAAGTTATACATGAAAACATTATTTTATTGGTTTAAAGGTGTTACCAATCGATTTATTATATCAAATTCTTTCAGACAACATGTTTTTTATAATTATAATATGATTATTATTACGATTATTTAAGAAAATAGATATATCGAGTGCTTTCCGGTCCTGCTAAGATACATGTACTTACCGAATAGCAATATTGTTTATCAAAGTTATACATGAAAACATTATTTTATTGGTTTGAAAGTGTTTTCAATCGATTTATTAGGTCAAAATCTTTCAGACAACATGTTTTTATAATTATAATATGATTATTATTACGATTATTTAAGAAAATAGATATATCGAGTGCTTTCCGGTTCTGCTAAGGTACATGTACTTTACCGAATAGCAATATTGTTTATCAAAGTAATACTTGAAAACTTTATTTTTTTTAGTTTGAAAGTGTTTAAATCGATTAATTAGGTCAAAATCTTTCAGACAACATGTTTTTATAATTATAATATGATTATTATTACGATTATTTAGGAAAACAGATATATCGAGTGCTTTCCGGTCCTGTGAAGAATAGCTGGATGTATTTAACTGATTGAGATATTATGATATAGAGATGTCATTTAAACTTAAAATTTAATAATATTCTACAAACAGTGATGTGTTCAAAACAAAATCAACAAATAACTATCTCTATATTATATACACAAAAAACTACAATATATGTACACAGGCAGACCCCTAGATTTTTTTATTTAATATCAATATCAATGCATATTATAATCTAGCTTCAGACATAATTATAAAAATGTTATCTTGTTAGTAATATTACTTTATTTCTTTTCATTCTCCATGTTTTGTTAATGCAGTCAAAAGATGTAGTTTTATCATTGTATGAGACTTTGCTACTAAATAATGTAACTTTGATGATTACGTGATGTTTAATTATATTTGAATGTATGTATTTTGTGACCATGTGCATTTTGTACACGTCTTATATGAATAAACTATCTATCATCTATCATCATATTATATTATGGTAAATCCATTTCAGTTCATGTATGGGCTAGACTTAAATGTAGCTTAAAAACATAAAACGTATTGTTGATAAAAACGGCCCTTTTAAGGGCCAAACATATATTACGAAAGAAATCCAGATTTATATTGTCAATTTGTTTATCAATAAAGCTTTTTACATATTTAAAATATATTTTTTTATATGTGCCATTTAATTTTCAGGTTCCGCGCATAAATTACGTAAGTAAGTAATGGCATGGGTTCAAATATAGAATACATCAACAGATATGTCTTCTTCCTTTTTCGGATTACATTTAAAAAATAAGGTTGATTATAAATTTCTATATTCATATATGATGAGTCTTAACGATTGTCATGATTTTTGATATTTTATTTAAGAAATATTCCAATTTAGATTTAATAGCACTACTAGCATTTACAGAAAAATTATGGTAATGGATTAATTTTGTTGATGTTAATATACAATTTTATTCAAATAAGAGTAAATTTTAATAACACCTTGATATTAAGTTCTAAGAGATTCCGTATATATCCGTTACAAACATTTCTTTTTATGAGTGCCGTAAAATTCTTCATTAAAAAAATTAGTTTTTATATCAAAAGAGTGTGTAATTAATTGCAATTGTATACAATTTGATTAAATCATCACCTTTAGGTGCTACAATATACAAGGTCTTCAATCAGCAAGGATTAGCACATGTGATAAACAATACAACAACTACTGTCCTCCACTGATGACCACATTGCTTTTCGGTACACATAATATGGTCAAAATAAAGACATAACTGAACGAAAATTTATAAGTTTTTCTTTATTTTACATAATATAACAATATAATAATAAAAAATATGGATCAATGCTTTGAATAACTTCTTTGTACTTTTTACACATCATCTTTCTGTCTTTCACACAACCTATAAATTATTAGAATATGATACAATGATATATGGTATGAGCAAGATTGAAAAAACGCGTAACTAATCATAATATTTTTAAATAAAATAAGTTCACCTTAATAAATCAATTTCTAACACTTTCACATAATTAATATGAAGGATTAGTGTGAATTATATAAATATTCGAGTGCTATTCGGTAAAGTAGATGTACTTTAGCATTACCGGAAAGCAATCAATATTTGTAGCAACTTTGAAAATCGCGTAATTAAACATAAAATATTTATAAAAACGTCATGATATACAGATCTTCACCTAATAAATAGATTGAAAACACTTTCAAACTAAAAAAATACAGTTTTCATGTATTACTTGGATAAACAATATTGCTATTCGGTAATGGACATGTATCTTAGCAGGACCGGAAAGCACTCGATATATCTATTTTCTTAAATACTCGTAATAATTATCAATATATATTTATAAAAACATGTTGTCTGAAAGATTTTGATCTAATAAATTGATTAGTAACACTTTCAAAACAATAAAATAAAGTTTTCATGTATTACTTTGATAAACAATATTGCTATTCGGTAATGTACATGTAACTTAGCAGGACCGGAAAGCACTCGATATATGTATTTTCCTAAATACTCGTAATAATAATAAAATATATTTATTAAAATGACTTCATAAACAGATTTTGATCTAATAAATCGATTGGTAACACTTTCAAACCAATAAAATAAAGTTTTCATGTATTACTTTGATAAAAATATTGCTATTCGGTAATGTACATGTATCTTAGCAGGACCGGAAAGCACTCGATATATCTATTTTCCTAAATACTCGTAATAATTATCAATATATATTTACAAAAATAACTTGTCTGAAAGATTTTGATCTAATAAATCGATTGGTAACACTTTAAAACCGATAAAATAAAGCTTTCATATGTTTTTATGAGAAATTTGAGTGCTTTCCGGTATTTCGGTGCTATCCGGTGCTTTCCGGTTTTTCTATGCACCGGCTGGGAAATGAACATTCTTTTTATCTTTTTTTATATGGATCAATGACAGTAATATGAATTATATATTGAACAGCATTGTAGGAAATTTCTCTTCTGTATAAGTCTAATTTATCACATTGATATTACCGACATACACCATACGCTTGCTGTTTGACGCCATTTTAGTGTTTCGGATTACATCGGTTAATGGCCATAATACACTAAATTTTTGGGGTTGAAAACCACTATACATTACAAGTTTGCTTTTTAAAAAGAAGCATGTGAGAGGTCTTTTGCAGCTGTGGAAAATTTGTTTAATTCGAAAATATTTGGGGATATTTTTGCATAAAAGGCGCAATAAATGGTTATAAATTTCAATTATTTAACAAAATATAATGTATCATATATATTGAATATAATATCATTATGAAAGTTTATTTTACACTTCATTTTTTCAGGGTCTTTCAAAAAGAAAGGTCTGGAAACACGCTATGTAAACTCTTCTCGCTACAATTAAACATGTCTCGTTATAAATCGGTATAGTTTGCTATAAGCAAATTCTGTAAGTGTTCAAGAAAAGGGCGAATATTAAATACAAGAGCAAAAATGAAAATTTTAACGACATGATGTTATTTAAAATCTTTAAACTTTTGAAAAAAGGATAAATATTTCAGGAAATGATGTTTTTTAAAGCCATCTTTGTTAAACACATAGATTGTTTGTTCAGAATATTTGCCGATAATCGGTGCCATTTTGAAAATGCACCAAATTAAACATCAAATATTTGCAAATAACATCGTGAAATATCATAATATTTTTACATGATACAATTTAATAACATATTTTCTCTGTAAAATAAAAATTACTATTTTGTCATTGAACAATGCATAAATTTTTAAAAAAAGCTCATGAAACTCAGGCCTATTTTCAAATATGAGCAGTAGATTTAATCATTTTTACCTTGAAAAATTTCTTATTTCATTGCAAATCTATAAAATTGTTACTTTTAAGGTAAAAACTGATAATATAATGTAGTCAGAGTTAGTTTGTAGTATTTTTTTGATTGATTTAACAAAACATTATCTTATAATTTGATTTTTGAATGGTGATGTGCTTTGCCATATTATAACCGAGACAGCATTTTTCGTAAAATTGGTCTGTCTCCAGACCATTCTATTTGAAAGACCCTGATTTTTTCAATGTTTTGAAAGATTATATGCAAGAGAAATTAACTTTTTTCTTGGCGCATTAGAGATACTTTTTCTACAAAGGGAACAATATATGTTATGTCATCAAACTAAATTTATATTTACGTACATTATTCATGTGTATTAAATAACACAGACATCGATCTATGTTACAACTTTTTGAGTAATTTAATAATGGAACGGATAAAATTTTACTGTTGATAAATTTTATAAAAAATATTTCATAAGATATAGATTTATACCCTTTAAGTCCCAGATTTACATAAAATATGTTTATATCATTTGATTGGAATAAACAGTATATAAAGCTGCATGCCTCCAACCACAATATTTGAAGAAAATCAAACTTGAGTAAATTTTGTGCCATTTGCGCCAAAAAATCTCCGTTGCGTTATTTAGTCATACCGGTTCAAAAGTTAAAGGAGCAGCAAAACTTCGGTACACTGTTCACTCGGTCATATAATAGTGCATGGTGATATTGTAGCTATAATGTTCACTGTTACTATTTATCGGAACATGAAATAGTAAAACGCTACTCATAAAACAATACGGTAATCGATTTATACATTTTAAAAGATTAAAACGGAATGAAACATCCACGTAGCGCTAAGTAACGTAAAAGATATTTTCCGATTTTTCTATGTACCGATTTGTTCACTTCGATGTTAATTTTTCGTTTAAGTTAAGTCGTATTTTGAAGCGGAGCATGCGCATAACAATTTTTGTAGACTGCTTCTAATGATTTAGACTCCGCTTGCAAGCGGCGTCTAGTAGATACAATGTATGCATTTGTCCATAAAGCAATGGAGGAAATTTTAGACTTGATTTTGTGTATTTTTTGTTTTAACAAAATCACAATGTTTTTAAATTTTCTAATAAAAATAGCTTTTATGATGTACAACATGTCACAGAGCTTTCAGGGATTAGAATAAACGTTTAACTGAAGTGATAGTGCCATGTTTGAATATCATATTCTTTTTATCATTATCTAATTTTATCTACGTAATAAATAACGTGCCAATGAGCCAGTCTTAGTCGATCGTTCTAAAACTTAACTGTTGTGAGAGGTGACAACTGAGGCAGTGTCACTTACTTCATTTGCTTCGCCTCTGTTGAAGTTCGACTCCGCCTTAAATTGTCATATTAAATTTGATATTATACTCCATATGCAGAGACATATAAATACTGTATTTTAACGTCTCTGCCATATGCTAGCATTTAGTCTTTGTTGACGGGGTAGAAGGGAACCAGGACCATTTTGATCAATATCACTTGTCGAATCATTAAATTACAAGTTACAAAGCCTAAACCACGCCCACTATCAGAGAGGCGGTTCTCACTCAAACGTTAAGAACGTACAACAAACCGGTTACGCTATGGCCTGTAAGGGGAGATCACTGCAGAACACAGTTTGTCCTCAAAATCATTCGAACATTATGCAATTCGTACCAATATTTAAATGGGTATATTCTCAGCACATATTGCCTTGAATTTATTTTAAGTATACCAATCATTTCAGTTTTATTTGTTATCTAATTTATTTTGATTCGACCAGACGTTTTAGTTTTTGTCGCAACAGACAAACATTAAAGAATTTCAGACCTGGCATTATTTTGTGAATTTATAGGATTAAGTTCTACCTTTTCACAAAAATATGCATCTTTATTATTAAACAACGAGCACATACCAAGAACATATGGAGAAAAAATTGATTTGTGCTTCAGATATTCAACTGTAATAGAGAACGATTTTTAATGCTGATTGACTGTTCACACCTCTGGCGGCGTCTTTGATGTGCAGCATCAACATTTAACTTGTTTTATGCTTTAAATGAGATTCATTCACTACAATCAGATACGCAAAAATGGATGCCGCCAGCAATCGGTCTGAACACTGTGGAGAGGTCTGATGACCTCTCCAATGAGTCAAAAGGAATCGGCACACTCAGTGTTGGTATAGTGTAAAAAAGTAATTATAAGGTTAACACTTATTGATCACTACTGATTGGTTCAAGGGATAAGGAAGTGTGTCTGTATACTTTAAGCTTCCTTCACAATCGACCTAAAATAAATTCTATATAAACCAAGATTACAACCGAGGCAAATGATATTTTTAAAGTGTTTGACGACGTATATGTATCTAGAGAAGAATGAAAATGCTTGCAAATTTAGTTTAATGAAACGTAAATTCATAGAGCAACTATAACTGAAACTAGTTGTATGTGATTACTGTGTCCAAAATGAGAAATGTGGAGTGTCTTGCTGTCAGCAAGAGAAAGAGATGTATTTGAAACAAATACCAGTTGTAATATAAGTAACAGAAAGAGCATCGAAACACGAGGCTATCTGATTTGGCGCAGTCGCTGAGTATAAATCAGATTGCCAAGTGTTTTGATGTTCTCTCTCTTCTGTAAAATAGGCAATAATAAAAACACGTTCCCTGTTGGCACAATATGAAACCCCAGAACAATTAACCCATGCACTAGCATCTGAATATGACATTTCTATCATTTTCACTATTGAAAAAAATGAGCCAGTCAATGGGTATGCTCTGGAGCGCTGCTAACTAATACCTGCACTACGGTAAACGTAGTGGTATACGATTTAACTCTGGCACATTTTCAACGGAAAGGTCCATAAACTATGATACAATGAAAAGAAATGTACTTAAAAGAAATATGAATTGTTATCGTGTGCTCAAGCTGTCACTGTGAAGCCGACATAAAATCATTTTTCTATAAAGGTAAATTATGCATCAGGACGAATAAACTTTTTGATGAAAATGATAAAATGAGTTTAGTAGGAAGTAAATACTGGTTTTAGAGCCTGTTAGATGCTAATCACCTAATGAAAGCAGCGCGAAATGTGAAATTATTTGTTATAAAAGTATTTTTTATTGTTTTCATACTTCTTTTTATTTGATAATTTGATTTTCTTTTGTCTTATTAAAAGTATGAATATTGACTTCTGCTAAGTAGACGTTGTGACACTTGGCATACTTCATAGTTCGGGCGTATTTTCTGTATTAGCTACAGATGTCGGGTCGCAGTACAGTATTACAAAATAAGAACAATTTAAATTTCATAATTTATTTCCATAATATCCATTGGTTATACATATTACATTGAGCTATATGTTGAGTACCGATAGATGTTTCATCCCAAAAGTTGTCGATTTCAGAACTGAAATGAAATTTAAAAGCTCAATGTAAAACCATGATACAATAAATTAATTTACACGTATCTAAATGGGATACAGGCCACAATCAATGTACAAACAAATTAGTATAGCTGACAAACGAAAACTTTAATTATGATCAATAGATTGTTTCTACATCTGGCGACACAGGCTATTGATTTTATTATCCAACTGTAAACGGAAAACGCACCATTTTCAGGCGTTTTAAATATATATTTCTATTATAACTTGTTGTTTCGATAATAACTGCCCGTGTGCCCTGTCATGTTTGGTATCTTGCTGAGCCGGTGATTCTGTGTAGGGAGATACGTGCATTGAATGCCACCCTTCTTTGTTGATAGTGGTTTTCAAGCAATAATTGCAGCAACGTTTCCAAACAATTTTGTTTCAGCATATTATCAATAGAAACAAACAGTTTATTTAGAATACAAAATGTTCGTCTTTACAGTTTCTCGATATCTAGGTGCAGTTATACAAGTTCCTGAATAAAATGTACCAAATTGTACCTGTATAAATTACCAGAGATTATTAATGCAAAAGAATCAACAACAAAGTTCATACCATCATTTTGTTAATCTTGACAGGCACATAAAGTCTCTGGAGCAAGCATTGTTACAGTTGGAGCCAGAGACTGAACCTGCTCCACCTGGACAACCGGCTCCCTCATTGTAACATTT